AAAACCCAACACATTTTAAAATTATAAAGTTTTAAAAAATACCCCAATAAATGGTATTTATTAATATCCACACCTTGCTTATTAGTGAACTGATCAATTCTAGATACTATAGCCTATAAGTCCCAAATGCCATTTGCTATATCCAATATTCATACATTTTATAAAATAGTTTCTTAAAAAAAAAAGCAAAAATGAAGAAAGTATTTCTACTAACTACAACTCTTAACATGATGTTGAACAGTTGATTGTTATTTTCAAGGATGTTTAGCAAGTTTTTAATTATTCTAGATTCCACTTTATTTCCAAGAGTAGTAACTACAGATTTGCTTTTAATTTTTTCCTAAAACAAGGCTATAACTTTATATGAAAGAGGTCCTAAGTTTTTAGAACTAAAAAAAGAATAAAAGTGTTTAGTTAAATTAACTGTTAAGCAAAACAAACATGATCACATCATATATTATCAGACATAAATTTTACTATGCAGAATATTACAATTGCAAAGTCTTACCTCTACACAAGTTTTCATCCCTGAGGCAGCAGCATAGTGCAGAGGTGTGTTTTTTTTGTTATCAACGGCATCAATAGCTGCTCTCTCATATTCGCCTTGGTCAAGTTTTGCTCCTTTCCACTTTAAGATCATCTGCAGACAATCTGCTCTTCTGAAATCATCTTCTGCAGGGCGTGCTAAGCGAGGATGAAGCGCTCCTTCAGATATCATAATCTGAGGTCCCATACACAACAAATGCATAGATGTTTCGTTGTGCACATTGCGTTTATTTGGATTTCCATCTCTACCAAAGAGAAAAGTCCTAAAATGGTAAAGAAAAAGAAGTATGAAAACCAGTGTTTTCCTTCCTTGAAACATGAAAACATAGGGGACACCAAATTTATAAGGTTAACTCTACTTAAACGCTGCTAATCTAATTTCTATTGACACAGAGTTTCACAACAGTAAATGACTACTTGGGTGACTATCCAAATAACTAATCTTAGTTACAAAAAACTCCTTTCTTGAACAATACTAAGAAAAGCTAGCTGGAATAGCTTTATTGTACTTGCTAATGAAAGAAGGGATAAGGAAAGGCAAATGTGGAAGTGAATTTAAAAGAAAGACAAGCGAAAAGCAGAGGAAGAAGGAAGGGAACAAAAAAGGCTACTAACAGACTAGCATCAGTATCATAACTGGCTTGGCATACATTAATAAACATTCCACACCAACTTTTCTCTATCTCCTTTATTGTTCTCTCCTGTTTCTCTTGAGTACATATTCATTTAATAAGGATGGTTACAATTTATGCAGAACAAGTAATACATAAGTCTGAAACTAAAATTTAAGTCTGGAAAATTTTCTCTTAACTGAAAGCTATCAGTCCTTAAAATAACAGGGCATCTACCTATAACAATATACAGCATTATACTGCTTTGTCAGAGGGGAAAGTTGTAGTTAGTTTTGGAAAACCTCAATACAATTCCAACGTGTTAACCATTCCTAACAGTCGGTCTAGGTGAGCTGCTACTGCTAAACTCAGATCTGAGATGCTTAGTTCTTAATGTATCATTGAACCAGGATCATAGGATTAATATTCAAACAATTAAGTGGCTATAACAAGATAGTGGAAAACTGGTTGTGGAAAAAACTTCTATAATAAAGAAGGCATACAAATATAAGGTGAAATGGGCATATATAAGCCCCATTAATGAAGATGAGTGCCTATGGTTACTGTGGAAGGCTGATATCATTAGCATTCCTATGCCCAAATCCAGAAAAGCATAGAGACGAAAGCAATGCCAAACCCTAAGTCCTAATTACACTTGGATGGCATTTAGGTTATTTCAGTTTAATATACATGGTTCTGACAGAAAAAAAAACTGACCATACAAGAACTAGTATAAATGTTTCCACTTGAACGAGTTAGTCAAGCTAGAAAGTTCTTATGAAAGAAAGGCTGAGTAAGACCATAAAGGAGTAGAAGGTGGGACAACTTTTAAAACTCTGGATCTCTGCTGTTCTTATTAAGACCCTAAACAGTTTAGCAGTACACAACCCTTCAAAACCAGCAAATTAGATTCTTAGCATCTGAATTTATTCAAATTATCCTGAAAGTAGACATGAGGTTTCTGGAGCAGCAATATTATTATTATTTATAATAACCATGTCATTTCATCATAGTTCAACTTTTCCCAGTGGGATAAAAAGCAATTAGAGCCAGAACAGATGTCTTCCTTTGCTATAGACCACTGTGGTAGGCAGAATATTTACCTCCACCTTTAAGAGGTCATTGTCCTAATTCTGAAAATCTGCAATTATATGTTACCATACACGGTAAAATATGTGGTTAAGGTTACCAGGTGGATTCAATGTAGTGACAAGTTCTTTAAGACAGGAGGGTAAGAGTCAAGAGAGACTGATCAGAAGATGCTATGCTGCTATCTATAAAGATGGAATAAGGGGCTATGGGACAGGAAACACAGGCTGATTTCAGAAGCTAGGAAAGAAATTCTACCCTAAGGTCTTCAGAGGACTGAGGCCCTACACTACTTTGGCCTCTCTACCACTCATAGCCTCTCTATGCACCTGTTTGTGTGTGTGTGTGTGTGTGTGTGTGTGTGTGCGTGAAGGAACTGAATAAGGCACTCCTGCATTGAGTGCCTTAAGACAATGGCCCACATCATGAGGCAGTTGGGGTTGTGTAAGTAGCTGTTTTGACTGTGTGGACATGGTCTGAGGTGGTCAGGGAGTAGCTCAGACAGTACACCAAGGACCTATACAAGAAGTCCTCCCAATATATACGGCCGACATGTCCCCTCCTGTTCCCAGTAAGATGATTACCTTTTGTTTCTCTTGGGCTCTTCTCCCCCTGCCATTGTCACATAATCAGTCATGCTTGTTCATTACTGCTAATATGTAGCAAGAGGGGTGCTCCCTGAGCAGCAATCTTGCCTTGCAAACCTGCTGCACAAATCATCTCTCAGTGTGTCCTGGGGGACGTGCTGGCTCATTCTCGACCACCAGATACTACCTTGACTTTAATCCAGTAGAACCATTTCAGAATTCTGATCTCTAAAACTTTTAAGATAATAAATGTAGTTAGTACTACCTTTGTGCTAATTTGCTACAGGAGCAAAAAATTAATACAGGTATTTAATATAGCTGCCTGTATGGCCAATTTCTTCTCTGGAAATGAGGGTAAAAGTTATCCCTGAGTGTAATCTAACTGACCTAGGGGAAGATCCACATTTCTTACCCTTTGGAATGTAAAATATGTCTCCAAAGGATAAGACAAGACTACCACCTCTGAGCTTTACAATTTAGGGAATGTCTTCAGTCTCAAGTCTCATCCATTGCTCAACCCTCTCCAAATATAAACTTTCATCTCCTAGGAGACAACCCTCTCTGGAGTTCTTAAGAATTGTCTTTTAAACTCGGTCCCAAATTCAGTGTAATTTTCTCAGAAAGCTCTAACTGTGCATACTTATTCTATAGCCCTATGTAGCCTTTATAGCCTACTGACCCCAGAGTATATAACATAAGCTCTTTACGCTTGCTCTGCTATATGATTTCCTGGGAACTAACTAAGGCCAGATAAATAAACCCACCTTATCTAGAAGTCTCTTTAAACTTGGCTTTCTCCTCCACATGAGTTTGGCGACTCCTTTCTTTGTTTTCATATAGCATCTGAACTATATAAATTATATCACATTTACTCTCTTACATATCTATTCATGTCTCCCACTTAGTTTATAGACTTCTATGGCAGGGTTCTATATCTTGTGCTTTCCTGAATCCACAATGCACTGTCAGATACAGCAGATGTTTAATATAATTTTGATAGGTGAATTGAGTGCATATTAGTTTTATGATCTACAGCTGTGAGAAGGCACTGGGATCTGTGAAGAAAACACTCTAGATCTCTGAAGCCAGAGTAGGAGTATAGTCTAGACTGATCAAGAACATGGCATCCAATAGAGTCTGCCAGACTCTAATGCGAGTTCTTACTTTTTAGCTGTGTGATCTTAGGAAGTCACATTACTATGTGACTTTGATCAAATAATTCTACTCCTGGGAATTACTCCTATAGGAGATAATTTAAAAGAAATAAAAATCTATAGAAACAATTACATTCAGTAGTGCTATTTTGAAGAGAAAAATCTCGAGACACTTTACTGCAATGGTTCACAGCTGATGTGGTGGTGGGATATTTACAGGGACTACACCTGAGAGGAGAAATCAAATACTGTACAAAAATGAACAACATAAGAAAATGAACAATTAATAATAGAAAAAAAAGTTTAAAAACAAAAATAGTCTTCCCATATCTCATAATATATAAATAGAATATATAATTAATGTTTTTGATAGACCCATTTTTGTAAGAATGTGTGTAATTATGAATTTATCAATTGCATGCAAGGTAAATTCTGTAAGAGGTAAATTCCTCCTGTCCCATTACCAAGGGATAGGATGTTACTGACAGGGTATAATCAGAAATATATTAACTTTGGGGGGGGGGGAATCACTTTCTTTTGCCCCTAAATACCCATCTACAAATTATCTGATCTCCTAGATTCTTCATTGTTAATTTTCCTATGGTCAGTTTTAACAGCTACTTTATCTTCCAAACATTCTATATCCACTTCAATATGACCCTATTTTTATTAATATACAGAAATTACATGCTTTCACATTGTTAAGAATTCCCTCAGTTAAATTCATCATTAACCTTAATTTCTTCTTTTAACTGAAAATACTATTCACTTACATCCTTTTTTAAATTATCATGGTTTCCATATATTTATATTTCTATATATTTTTCAATACTTATGTTGATGATTGTACTGCCTACCCTCCTGCTGGAAGCAAGTTAAACTGCTGAATTCATTTCCTTCTCCACATAAACCCCTTCATCAGAGAGCATATTTACTCTTAAAGCCATTTATTTTTCAATGGTTTCTGTGAATATACTTTATAAATCAGAAGGTATTATCAAAACCCAAATGACAGGCAGTGGTGGCAATTATCATGGTTTCTCTCAAAGAACTTCTATTACTTTTGTGATAATATCTTAAGACTCTATCACCCCTGTGATTTCCCATTTGACCTGTCATTCTAACTTCTTGTCAGTTTCTTTCTCTTAACCGTTCTATCATTTCATATTAGGCTGAGTCCTCTCCAAAACAAATTTTCTCACTGAATCTCATTACTTGCCTTAACATGTACATATACTAATACATACAGACTTTTGGTTCCTTTTAAATCCTCTCTTCCATGGGATAAATACTTGTTAATTGGTGATTATTTGCCAATTCTAGGACTTAGGCATATTATGAAGAAGCCTAATCCCTGCCTATATGGGGTGTACAGTAAGGAGAATGGAAGAGAACTATGTTTGAAATTCAGTGCAATCCATTTAATAAAATTTAATAATTTTTGATGAGTCAAAAAGCAGAAATCACTCAGAAACTATTTTAGTTCTCAAAGCTTGATATTAATATATGTTCTAATACAGATATTACCTTTTAGTTTCAAAGTAGCAAAAGAAGCTATTCTGTACAATCTAAGGAACAGGCATGATAATCCCCTTTTATACATGACTTTCAATATAATACAACTAATGTTTTTGCTACATTAAGTAGCAACTACCTGTGAACACTGGTTTAATTTCCCATAAAAGACTCACTGTGGTATGATATAATATAAATACCACATACTGGTTCAGAGATCTGGGAAGCTGTAAATTTTTTTTTTTTAAACCACATTATTCTCAGAGAGGAAAGTTGTACATACCACAAAACTATAGGAAATGGGGAT